CTTACCCATTTGACGTGCCCCACCTGCAGCATATCCTCTTGTCGCAAAAACTGGCGAGCCTCCAAGAAAACTAGGAGTACTTAATCCAATTAGTTGAGGTAAATTTGATCCATTCCTCAAACATGCTCGTAGGTTTGCGTTTTTAATAGCCGGTCGAAATGTCCGGATAATTACTCGTGATTTTGAGAGCATTTTTGGGCACACGCGTGCTGTTTTTGTTGCGGAGAGGCATAAAGAAATACAGCGATCCCGGGGGGTGTGGGTGGGGGGGGAATTCTATGACTTCATATCCCGGGCTCGACATTGTAGATTTTTCTGGAGTCTTCTTGAGGCTCTGTGAGGTTTCCTCAAATTGACGAAATCACGCCAGATCGAAAGGGCGGCAGCCCTGAGAGACTACCGGGTTACCGGTGGTGGCTGTTCAGGCGAGGCTGAAGTACTGGACTGTACTCTACCATGCGAGACTGCTAACTATAGAGAAAACAAAAATGCTAGGGAATGTGCCAGCTTAACTAGCCTGTAGGGGTCGGAACCAAAAATGGTGAGCAGTCAATCCCACATTTACCTCACACCCGAACTAAGCTTTTCCCCCTCATCTATCCCCTCTTCGCCACCGACCCCCCGTCAAACTACTGTACTCAGGATACGCCCCGAAAGTAATGGTGGGCACCGGAGGCTGGGCCCACCTCACCTCCCCGCTCACGACAACCACATCCCCCCTCCTCATCCTAACCACCACTGACGCTTCCTCCCCAATTCTCGTGATGAGAAGCGCCTCGCAACCCAGCAAAACACTGATCAAAGGTGTATAATTTACCTCCGGAATGGAGTGGTGAAGTGCCGCCATACCCTGGGAGGACTAGATATGGACCACGGCCGCCGGTTCTGTGATCCTAAACAGTAGTCTCACGAGCTCCGTAATATCTAGGTGTAATTTCGGCGGCAAGGAGGAAATCACCAGGGTCCCTTCTCAGCAGGCACTCGTAATCCCCACGAAGCGGCACCCACCGGAGGATATTTTACCGAGCATACGGTTCAGGTTGCGAGCAAGCGAGCAAACCGGGGTTGTGACGGAGTCACAACCTTGGCACGGTTAAGTCTTAGGAGTCGACCTTGGGACCAACCGTACTACCGCTAACTCCCCGATCTCTACGAGTAGTTACGTTCTTCGCACCCGAATATCCTCATGCTTCCCTCGCAGAGTACCGGTAATACCCGATCTTAGTACCAAGTATCATAGCAAAGCTGCGGGGTACGTACATTACTTACCATCTTACAGCCGTTTCCGTAGTGTGAAGTCTCATCCCAACAGTCCCTCTGGAAGAGGAGGATGGTTAATATTAGTGGGGAGAGGGTAAGGAATGTTAAGGGGACATGCGGCATGCAAAATAGTTGTTCGGCTCAATGCCCTGTAATGCGCAACTGGTACTCCTGGCTATGGGAGCGAACAATTGGTCTCCGGAGAAAAATAGGAAAATGGGATTATTATAGCATGCATTCTGAACAACAGATTGCGAACAATTACTGATAGCGGAGGAAAATAGGGGCAAAAGAAATAAAGATAATAGAAATTATAAAGCACTGAAATAAGAATAAGAATGCGGTGGGCTAAATTTAATTCGGCAAAGCTAGTGTCGGAAGCTGTGGGTTCAAACGCGGGAGATGGCAAGTGTGTTGGGACCTGCGGGGACCTCTGGTTCGTGCTCCAGTAATGCATCCCCGGGAGAAGCGAGTGTCAGGAAAGTGGATTGACTAAAACATACCACAATGTAGAAATATAGGGGCTCAATTTGTGTCCACAGTAGGAGGGGGAAATGCTAGAATGGGATATATTCCTAATTCTTCACTATGTTAGATTTGCCTTTTTTCCCCGGTTGAATTCGGATGTCTAATTGTGGTAGAGATTCTTTTAAGGAGTATTTCTGCAGATTTACCCACAGAGTACTAAGGGATTTATGCACCACCAACTTCCCAATTCAATCCTTTTCTATATAATTTGATCGGGAATGGTGGAATGAACAAAAAGCCACCCGGCTTGCCAACCGATGGCCAGAGCTGGGAAGATGGTCGGAAAATATATAATTAGCTTCCGAGCCGTCCAACCAGCTACTTATCTATCGTAACTAGGAGCATCCTTCTAAAATTTTGAAAGTGCCCAGCTGGTACACCCCATCAAGAAATGTGAAACTGACAATAGGTAATAGTGGGCCGGGGGAGATTGAATGCTTCTCCCTTTGGCTCTCCCCACACTTTTGCTGTACTAGTATGTCCTGCCCAACTAGGTAACCTTACTTTACACATCCCCCTCCTCCATCCCCATATGCTTGCTGTTGAAATCCCCGACCTAATTCCCCAGTCCGGACAATTAACCCCATTCCCGTTACCCCCAGCCCCTCCAGTTTTCCCAATAACTTTGCAACCTGCTTCTTATCCGCCTCTTTTGTGTCTGCTATCCCCTTACAAGACTATTTAGAACAGACTTTAGTCCACGGGATGGAAGCAATGATATAGGATAAAAAAATAAACTCTTACCTGTCATCACCACACCAAGATCCATACGATCAATTCTAGAACTTATTCATGAAGTTCATAATGTTCCGGGATCATCAACAGGAGGGCGAGGAAGCAGTGGTTACATCCAGGGTAACATGGTAGTTGTGAGCCTTAAGGCTTTCAAAAATGAAGGAAACGGGTGTAGCGTAGGTGATATCGGTCCGGTCAGTGAGGCCACCACCACCCGTGAGAAGCCCTCCAAGGCGCCCAAGGCTGTCAACGATAGCAGACCCAGAGTCACCACACCTGGAGAAAGGACCATGGTTGTCATCATAATTAAAAATGGGCCATTCGGTGGAGGTAACTTCGCTACCATCCGCATTGTAGTAACGGACATAAGAAGCAATATTGTTTGCACGGCCAATGGTAAGACCAGTAGTAATACCACGCTTGATGACAACAAGACATGGCTCCCCCTGCTGGTCGGCCATGTGCGGGTTATACAACTCATCGTCAGGAATTATATCCCGCACTTGAAAGAGGCGGTCAAACGGGTATTTAAACCTGTGCCGGTTTGTTGCATTTGGGAACATCCGACAGGTGAAGTCATCAGGGGTGATCTTAGTTCCAAGATCAATTGCATTGCCAGTAAAAGTAGCAGCATCAATCTTGGACTGGTCGAGCTCGATCAGCGCATAGTCCTGGGTATACCCAGCTGAACCAGTTCCATATTGGAGAGGGGGGGAGAAGCGGAGGTGCCCAATAATCCGATCATGAAGGTTGTCCCAGTTCTTTACTACATTATTGTAGAGTGTCTTCATAGCCACAATCGCTTGTGACACCTCTTGTAGGAGAGTCTCATTAGATGCTAGCTTGCTTGTAGCCTCACCTCCATCTTTTCCCTGTGAGGTTCTTAGAGCCTCAACAACCCCCTCCCGAAACTCCCAGACCATCTCTTTTTTTGTAATAGCCGTAGTTATCTGTCCCAGATAGTTGATAAATGCTGTACTACTAAACAGAGCAATGTGGTCATAAGGCTGGCCGGAGCGCTTGCGCTCAATGACCTTGTGGTCAGGACCAGATGGGAACACAACATGCCGGGCTGTAACCAAATAGAGCTTAGACTCCCTAATCTTATCCCTAAGGTAAAATCCCCCCGTACCCTCAGCCCATTCGCTACGTGTACGGCTGATGGAAAGGCCAAGGGTAGAGGTAAGCGGCTCCCGGAGCTCTGCAGTGGGGTCATCTAGGGCGGCAGGCTTTAGAAGCTTAGGACCAGAATAGCGAGTCACAACAGACTCGCGGATTTCGACCTCAACATCTAAGATCTGGTTTGCGACCAGAAGTTCCTTGCACTCCATAGCAACTGTGTAGCCCAGTTCCCAGGGTAGCGTATCTGGCTGTACACCTATCCAGATAACTACTGGAGCGATGGCTTCCCCCACCGTACCAATGCGAGTGACATCCGTACTTGTCCACTTTATCTCCTTCGACTGAAGGATCTTGTCCATTTGTAGAGCGATTTTGTCCTTCCAGATTTCGGTAAGTGGGTGATTGCCAACAGTACGTAGCAGCTTTCGTGGGAGGTATCCTGGGGGGCCAGCAGGGGGCTTCCAAGGATTTGTCCCGCTACGGGCCACCAGAACTGGCCTTGAATATAGGCCATGGTAGTAGAGGTTCGCCTCGAGAGAGGAGATTGGAGGGTAAGGAGACATCGAGGTGTGTGGAGAAGAGGGTATTTTTCCCGGAAGAGCTTGAATAATGTTCTGGAATGATAGAGGGGGAGGAATAGTAGGATGGTAGTGATCGGTGGTAATGTCGAGGTCGGTGCTCTCAGAATAAACAGTGGAAGGTGACGGAATAGCCGGATGGCAGTGATCGATAGTAATGTCAAGGTCGGTGTTCTCAACATGGGCGGTGTGCTCACACTTCAACTTATAGGTCCTCAGGGCTAATATAAGAGGTTAGACTGTGCAACCAAGCATGACGGAGGAGTGACCTACCATCCATAGTTGATATAGGAAGGCCCCGTGTGCAAGGTTGCGCAGCTAAGCTTTCTAAAGATAGTAAATTAGTTAGATCCTCCCATGCTTAATTAATGGAATATACAATAATAGCCGCTTTACAACAAAAACATCTTAGAAGTTTGAATATCTTACCTTGTTGAGCAAATTTACGGCTGTTTAGGGCTGGTGGCTCTCACAGGATAAGGGTATTTTGTCCTGTCTGGAGAAAGTTGTCGGTCAAAGTTATTTTTAGCAAGCAGAAGCACCGAGCTGCACAAGAGCCTGAGTACGGTTCCACAATGGGGACAACTTTCGTCCTATGCATACCTTTATTCAGCATGCGTAACTTGCGGGGCAAGGGTATCTTCCTGTCAACTGGATAAACTTAAAAGTAAAGGGTAATTTTTTTTTCAGGAGAGTTAAACACGCAGGATGGGGGTATACCTTGATCCAGAGAGACAAACTTGATGGAGAATAGTACCTATTTCCCGAGGGAAGAGCCGCCTGTATGGGCGTGGTCTTCCGCAGCGGGAGACGCTGGCCAGCCAAGGGTAGGTTTCTGCGGTGGGAGCAACTTTCGGGCTCAAGGCATCTTGTTTTAGCAGGAGAACTGTGCGGGATGAGGGCAATTTCTTTTCATCTAGAGGGATGAACTGGGAGGATGAGGGTATACCTTTAGCAGACAGCCAAACCTATCTGCTAAGCGAACCTTTTTCCAGCAGGAGAAGGGCAACAGACAAGTAAGAAACTAGCCAGGCAAAGGTACGTGTCCTCGGTGGGAGCCACCTTTGGGCTAAGGGTAAAGATTTTTAGTAGGAAAAACTTGCAGGATAAGAGTGTATTTCTTTCAAAGGGGTAAACTTACAGGATCAGAGTAGTTTTTTTTTTCAGAGGGATGAGCAGAGATGACGAGGGCATGCCTTTTGCCAGAGAGACAAACTTGCCGGATAAGGGTATGTTTGGGCAGCAGGAGAAACAAGATGGGCACGGGTATGTTTTCTCAGTCGGGAGAGCTTTTGGGATAAAGGTATCTTGTTTTAGCCAGAGAAACTTACAACATCAGAGTTTACCCCGTGCAAAGAGGGAAACTTACCAGATAAGGATCTTTTCTTTTTTTCTCACAGAGAAAAACGGGCAGGATGAGAGTATAGTATTTTTCAAGACAAACAGGCA